GTGTGTGTGTGTGTGTGTGTGTGTGTGTGTGAGAGAGAGAGAGAGAGAGAGAGAGAGAGAGAGAGAGAGAGAGAGAGAGAGAGAGAGAGAGATTAGGGAACTGGGGGAGGAGTGCTGGAAACGGAGGTTAAGCGAAAGAGGGATTGATAAGGAATTGAGAGGGCTAAGGTCGTTTGCAAGGGGTAGGTCAGGATATGATTTAAGGATGATTTATAATGAAAACTTGCAGAGGACGCAGATGGAGGGAATAGTGATATCTCTAAGCAGCAGCAGTGAGGAGGAAGGGGAGGAGGAGGAGGAGGAAGACATAGCTTTGATCACTGGAGGAAATGAGGATGATGATGAGGAGAAGACCGAAGAGAATGAAGGTGATGTTCAGAGCGAGCAACAGATGTGCACAGAGACTGTGATTGAAAGGAGGCGTTCCAACGGCACTCCTCAGAGAGATGCAGATCACCATCGAAGAAGATCAAGGACATATGTCGAGAGAGGAGGGGGAGATAATGCAGGTTGTGGTCATTTGGATGAGGGAGGTGATAATTGGGAGGTACTAAGAAGGATTGGGAAGAAGAGGAGGGTGGTGATGGAACAGCAGGACGATGACCACGTGTCAATGGATAGATTAGGGGATGGCCACGTGTCAATTGATAGATCACGGGACGGCCACGTGTCAATGGATAGATCGAGGAAATCAGATATCTGGAGCACTCGCATGGGGACTCCAATCATTAATAAAGCAGCAGGGAGGGATACCTTTCGCAAGCTGCTAAGCGAACATGAAGTGATGGAGGAGGAAGAGGGAGCAGAGGGAGGATTAGTGACCAAGAAAAGACATAGTTTTATGTGCAAAAAAGACGGCTGCAATCGAGGGACAGGAAGCCAATCAATGGTAGAGGATGAAGGGGTTCCTTTGAGGGGACCTTCTGCGGAAACAGCTAAGCAGCGGGCGGAGATTTACCCAAAGACATACAGACAATGTGATGGGAATGTCACAGGGGGAAGAAGGGCAGAGAGGGACTCGATGGAGTGTTCAAGGCTTTCAAACACGTGGGAGGAGGAGGAGGAGGAGGAGGAGGAGGAGATACAGGATACCCAGGGCAACGGGGGGACGGGGATGCAAAGAAAAATGATGACGTCATCAGATAGGTTGCGGATGGGGTGGGCGAAGGGGCGAGCGGCGGGTGAGCAGCAGGCAGCGCGGGGAGGAGAGCAGAGAGATGAGAGAGTGGTGGTGGTGGGGACCACCACCACCACCAGTCGACGCGGTGTTCGGGGGGAGGGGGTTGTGGCTTCGGCTAGCGGCGGCAGCAGAGAGGCGGCGGGGGGACCACCATCCCAGCAGCAAAACTTCGGCGGCAGGAGTACATCCATGATGACGTCATCAGAGGACCAAGTTTCCCGCGCTCCGATTTTGGCGGGAAATCGGACGCCGACCAATCGTCCTCCTCCTGCTGGTGCTGATGGTCGTGCTTGGATGGATCCAAACCCCCCGACGGTTCTTGTTGGACAACCTCGTCGTCCTTGTCCAACCTTATCCGTTCACGACAAGCCACGACGACAAGATCAAGAACCTTCAAAGAAGTATCCCGACAAGTTCCACAAGAAGCAGCAGCACCAACCTTATCCAGCCTCCTCCACTCCCTATAACAGGCAATCAGCTCAATCATCAACCCAATCAGCTCATCACCAATCTACTGCTGCCGCCGCTAAAACGGATCACTTTTGTAGGGAATTTTGGCACGCGGGAGACTACGAAGTAATCAAACGTCCGGACCAAGATAGTCGATCTCAATCCATGGGAATCGGCCATGTAAGGGTTCATCCCAAGTTCCTCCACTCAAATGCCACCAGCCACAAGTGGGCTCTTGGCGCCTTAGCTGAGTTGCTGGACAATGCGGTGGATGAGGTTGTGAATGGCGCCACTTTTGTTGTTTTGGATAAGGTGATTAATCCAATGGACGGGAGTTCTATGCTGCTGATCGAGGACGATGGGGGGGGGATGGGACCGGACAAACTGCGGCAGTGCATGTCCTTAGGGTACTCGGCAAAATCTAAATCCTCCAACATGATTGGTCAATATGGAAACGGGTTCAAGACAAGCACCATGAGGCTGGGCGCAGATGTAATCGTCTTTTCCAATTGTATGAATGCCCCAGGGGGTCCCCTAACTCAAAGCATTGGCTTGTTATCGTACACTTTCTTGAGAAGAGAAGGTCTGGAGGACATCATCGTGCCAATGATCGACTTCATAATCGAGCCGGACGGAGAGAAGAGGCGGTTGATCCGTACGACAGAGGAAGATTGGGAGAACAATCTGAGAACGATCACTGCTTGGTCACCGTACAACAGTCTCGAGGTGCTGAACATGCAAGTGGAAGGAATGGGTCCTCAGGGGACCAAAGTAGTGATCTTCAATCTGTGGTACAATGATGAGGGGCTCCTGGAGCTGGACTTCGACGCGGATGCCTACGATATCCAGATCAGAGGGGCCAATCGGGACGAGAAACAGAATCAACTGGCTGCTAAGTACCCAGGCTCCCGAGCTTACCTGAGCTACCGCTACTCTCTGCGGTGTTATGCGTCTATGTTGTACTTGAGGAAGATCAATAATTTCAGGATAGTGCTCAGAGGGAGAGAGGTTCTCCACCATAGTGTGGTGGACGATCTCATCCACACCCAGGAGAGGATATACAGGCCGCAGGTGAGCGGCAATCACAGCAATTGGAAGTCTGACAAGTCAGACATGACCGTTGTCACCACGGTAGGCTTCGTTAAAGATGCACCGCATGTGGACGTTTCAGGGTTCAGCGTGTATCATAAGAACCGATTGATCAAACCGTTCTGGAAGGTGTGGGCAGTGGCCAACAGTGGAGGGAGAGGGGTGATAGGAGTGCTGGAGGCCAACTTCGTCGAGCCAGCGCACGATAAGCAGGGATTTGAAAGGACGTTGATTCTGCAGAGATTGGAGGCCAAACTGATTGAAATACAGAAGCAGTACTGGAAACAGAATCGGGAGAAAGTAGGGTATCAGCCGAAGTTGAAGAATGGGGGGGGAGGGGGAGGGGGAGGTGACGGAGTGATAGTCTCTCCTACCCTGTCTCCTTCTCCTCCTCCTCCTCCTCCCGCTGCTGCTGCTGCTGCTGCTCAGACTGGTGGAGGTGGAGAGGGGGATGCCTTGGGTGCGAAATCGAAAGAAGCTGTATGGGTGGGTGGGATGTCCTCAAGGACCTCCTCTCCTACTCCTCCTGCAGTGGGCCGTGTGGGTGATGGGTGTATAGACGACAAGTCGAAGAAGCAGCGCCGAGTTGGGATTGGGATGACGTCATCGCAAGTCTCTCCGGGGAGATCTGCGGCTTTGTGGGTAGGGAAGGAGAGAAGAGGAGGTGGTGTCGAGAGTGATGGGCATACTACTACTCCCTCTTCTTCTCCCGACATTAAGCCGTGCGCTATTGGGGTAACCCGCAAGCCTAACTCTCCTGTGTCCAGAAGCGGAGGATCTTGGAAGCAAGGAGTAGGAGTAGGAGGAGGAGGAGGAGGAGGAGAGAACGAAGGAGGAGCAAGAGGAGTAGGAGGGAGAAGAACAGGAGGAGGAGGGAGAGGGGGAGAGAAAGATAGGGAGGGAGCGAGGGGAAAGCTTGAGGCTTTGGCTGATCTTGCCGCTGACCAGGCGTTGCGCGAAGAGAAGGAAGTGGATATTGCGAAGCCGAGAGCGGGTGTGAGGGTGGAGGAAAGAGAGAAGGTCAGAACCCCTGCCTTCCAGCCTGCACTTAAGGACGGTGGGAATGGGAGGGTAGATGGTTGCTCACGAGGAGCCAGACTGGTAGCAGATTCTGCCCCTTACGACGGGGGAGGAAGGAAGAAGGGGAGAGAGAGAGGATTGGCGGATGGAGAAGACCTAGAGACAGGTCCTCTCGAAGAGCTTGGGCTGCAGGTCACCAGGCGTGCTATTGCGAGAGGAGAGAAGGGGAAAGAGGAGGAGGGAGGTAGGGATGGTGCAGTTCCTGATGCCTCCGAGCGTGTGGACATGGAAGTGTACGACCGACTTGTCGGGGAGAACAAGCAGCTTACAGAGCGCTACAAGAGGTTGCTGGAGACACGTGGCAAGCATATAGCGATTGAGAACCGGGTGGAAGCTCTGGAGAGCGAACTAGCGGCGGCTAAGAAGAAACTAGAGGATAGAATTAGGGAGAGAGAGAAGGAGAAGAGGAACCTGCTGACACAGACACAGCTGCGACAGAGGGAAGTCTCGATACTTCAGCTCGAGCTGAAGGAAGCTCTCTCTCGATTACGCCAATTAGACTCCAGGAGGAAGAGCCCCAGTGACGACCGTCTGGTAGTCTAGAACTCAGTACACAGGGTCCTCGCGATGACGATACCTGTGAGGTAATTACTTTTATATCGAGGGTCCGGATCCCTCTGCCAATCAAGCAATTGCCTCGATCGCTTGTTCTTGGGGGGGGAAACGGCTGACGACATCGGCTTGCTCGTCCGCTATTTCGGTACATCCTGTGCTCCTATGGTCTTCCATTTTAGGAAAGTGGAAGTAAGACAGGAACGTCGCTAGGAGGGCAATCTTGGGGCGAAGGTGGAGGGAGGAAGAGGAGGAAAAGAGGGGAGAAGAAATGAGGGAGGGACGACGACTAACAGTAGGAAGTGAGGGGAAATTAGGGAGGAGGAGGAGGAGGAGGAGTCCAGCTCTCTGTTTCTCGAGCTCGGCCATTCATATCACGGTGTCAGTGGTTCGTCATCTACTCCGCTGCTTTCTCTCTCTTCTTTCTCTCTCTTCTCTCTCCCACACACTCTTTCTCTCTGTGACTTACACACACAAGCTTATAGTCTGCCTCTCCCACTCTCTTTCTCTCACTTCCTCCTTGACCTTCGACGACAAGTACCGTCGTCCTGGAAAAGTGAATATTAATACGGCGATGAGTCTCTGAGCAACATCAAAGGCGATGGATGGGGTTGTGGGGGGGGAGAGAGAGAGAGAGAGAGAGAGAGAGAGAGAGAGAGAGAGAGAGAGAGAGAGAGGATAGTAGTTCTGTCCTTCTTCGTCAGGGGCTGTGCGAGCTGGCACTAGTGGAAGTCTTCTCTACACGATTTGCCGCGTGGCAGTATATGCTGGAAAACAAGCAATTGGGCCTCGCTCTACTACTCTCCACATGTGCAAAATGAGAGTGAGTTTTCCGTTAGAATATGGAACGATACACCGCCATGATTTTTGTCGTTTGTGCATGTGGAGAGTACTGGAGCGATGCCCATTGGCACAGGGGGTATCATTCCCCTTCCCGGGGGAATGGGCCACGAGGCGAGCTGTCGTGGCATTTACGGGTGTTGATACAGCGTTGGCACAGCGGTCACGTGGCAGCACAAAGGAGTGCAGGTCTCGTGCTTGGACGGAAGGGGCGTAATGACCTCCTGAAGCAGGATCAGGCAGAGCACCAGCCCCGTTCAGACTCTGTACGGATGGATGAGCTCTCATTTCAGCGTCAGATAGCGCCGCATCATCGCCTCAGGTCCACTGTATCCACAGGTAACACAATCCATAGCTTTCCGGTATATTTCCTTTTTTCCCTTTTTGGTATTTTTGGCCTATTTTAGGATCTTGTCGATTTTTTTTTAAATGATTGTTTTTATTATTATTATTTAAAAAAAAAAAACAAGAGGCCCGGTGCCCAAGGCTCAGATTATGCAATTGAATGCAAAGCGAACCCACGATTTCTTCGTGTCATGGCGAGGGCCATGCTATCTTCTTCTTTCTTTCGTCTTTTCTTTATAAGAAAAATTGTAATTTATTACAGGCCGGAAAACTGGTCCGGCGTCCCTCACATTTGCTTCCTCTGTGTACCCTTCCGTGAATCTCTTCGATCGCCTTTGCTAGTGGGACCTCGCTCCAGGGGGACTAAGGGTGATGCCTGTGCGACTGTGCGACTGGGTACCGGAAAGGGGATTAAGGGTCTACGGTAATGGTCTACCGGGTGCAGTAAAACATGATCTTAACCGTTAAGCCTGAGGTGAGGTGGGATGGTACCTGTGTTCTTGATCTGAAATGCCAACTGCCCTACCTTGAATGTGTACAACTTTCTTTTTTTAATAAAAAATACAAATAAAAATGAAATGCAGACCTGAGTTGGAATCAAGATGAGTAAAAGTAGCCCTTAGCCATTAACCCTGAGATGAGGTGGGGGGATGGTACCTGCGCTCTTGAGCTGAAATGCCAACTGCCCTACCTTGAACGTGTGCAACTTAATTTTTTTTAAAAAAAGAAAAAGAAATGCCGAGGTGAGTTGGAATCAAGACGAGTAAAAGTAGGGCTGAATTCACCTGGGGCCGGCTCAAAGATGATATCTCTCCCCTTCTTAAAATAGCTCAGAATTTAACGGGGCCCGGGCAGCTCAAAGATAAAAAAGATGAGCCTGCGCTTCCCAGCTTGTGCTGCTCCCCACTTTTTTTTTCTTTTTTGTTTTGGAGCCTTGTTACAAAAAAAAGAGCCTGCGGGGGGCAGTGCAAAAATGTGCGCTAACGAAGCGGCGATAGCGGCGCCTGGTCGTCGTTGGCGGCTGAGTAGGACGCAACGGCGGGGCATGCAGACGCTGATCCTTTCCACGAGACGCCTACCCTGCCAGGCACCATAGCTGTGTGAGAGCTATGGCGACAGTGCCCTGGCGTAGCCTAGCCCTTGAGTGGGTAGGGAGTGCCTTGCACTCTTACACCAAGGCATCCTGGCAGCTCCGCACCTGACCTCCATACCAACCTTCATACCTGACAGGATCTCGGCACCAGAGGAGCCGACCTCCCCTCGAGCCTTTTGCTGGAAAGGGTGGCTCCTTTCTCACCATCCAAAGGCCGTGCGCTGTACTTTCATGACACGCCATCTCGACTGCCTCAATCATTAGGGAAAGGATGGAAGGCGGAGCGGCGCATCTGGATGCAGTGGGAGAGCGTGCGGCTGCGGTGGCAGCGCTTTGGCATGTCAAAGGGCAAGTAAGTCTCGTTTGACCAATCTACAACACAAGGCAGTCTGAAAGGATGGAATAAAGCGCCTTGCATCACGGCACTAGCAGGAATGGCGCCGTGTTGTATCGAGATGTTTTTAACTTGGTAATTTTGTAAGTCTTCTTCTGCACATCTTGTTTGCATGTAGGCATAGTTTCGGTAATTCAGCAGGTCATTCGTTCACACATCTAGGCAAGTGATTGCCTCAAGATGCTGAGGTACTCGAATGAAACTGCTTGTCTGTCTCTTTTACATCCTATGTGCATTTACTTCGTGTTTTCTTCGTGATCCCTTCCTTTTCTCACCTAATTTGATTCTTTTTGTGGGCTTAATTTCGATCTCGACTCTTTTGCTCGTATTTTAGGGTAGGATTGTTCCCTGGTACAAGTCATTGTTGTCTAAAATTTTAGCTCTTCTGTTTTGAACACTGAACCTGGTTGTCTTTGTGGCCGTATTCAGTTATAAAGTCGAGAACATGCCCTCCATTTATAGCTGTTTTCTAGGCTAGTCTGTCGTATCTTAGGGTACTGCATTTCTCTGATCGCTTAGTTGTCTCTTGATTCCCTTGAGAAGTAAAATTTTACTCTCTGTTCTGGCACGGGGGTTGCTCTTAGTGTTTCGTTTTTAGAAATACGTATGGCTGCAGCAACTTAGGATTGAGAGAGAGGGATAATTGATCTTCCGGAATTCGGGTTGGTCCCCTACTTTTTGCTACGGGTAGGCCCCCTACTTTTTGCTTTGGGTTGGTCCCCTATTTCTTGCTATCAGACATTATCTGCGATGCATGGGAGTAAACCTGTGATTTCTTCTCCTTGTCTGTTTTAGGTATTTTTGCCTTTTGGCAAGTTGGTTTTCTTTGTAGTCATTATAAGAGTAGTTAGCACAAAGAAGCAGCGGGAACACCAATGGTTGGACGAAATGAGAGACCCGGTGAAGAAAAGCAAACTAGAGTTGCATCCATTGGGTGCGTGGTGGGAAACCCGTCTCGGCAACAAAGGCTCTTTACGGTGTTATGGACAGTGATGATGAGAGGGTATCGCTACAGCTTATTCTTCGATTTTGATTACCGACAGCGGCACTACGGGGGCAGTGTGAGTGCCATCGTCAGTGGCGGGAGTGTTAGTCGATTGTAGTCATTATAAGAGTAGTTAGCATGAAGGAGCAGTGGAAACACCAATGGTTGGACGATATGAGAGACCTGGTGAAGAGCAAACTAGAGTTGTATCCATTGGATGCGTGGTGGGAAACCCGTCTAGGCAACAAAGGCTCTTTACAGTGTGTTGGACAGTGATGATGGGAGGGTAACCCTACCGCTTATTCTTCTTGCCCAGCTCCTGAGATTATAGGTAGTTTTAATTTCTAACGGCTTAGTCGTTTACTTGAATCCTGGTGGAACGTAATATTGCCGATTTAGGCAACTGAGCATGATTCAATACTAGTTTAATATCGATGAGCAACACTGCAATGATCTGCTAGTTGGCAGAGACTGAACTTTAGTACCAAGTAGGATGGCGCCTTGTTTCTACATGAAATTACTTTGCTTCAAGGGATTTTGGAAGATGAGGATAGACCAGTGAAAGGAAGGGACGCTGGACCCATTTCCCAGCAACAGCCCAATTAGGGTTATTGGTCATATCTTCCGGGTTGCTTGTGAGGAATTCCCGGCCTCCTTTCATTTGTAATAAAAGCTGATTCTTCCAAAAAAAAATAAAAATAGAGCCTGCGATTCCCTTCTTAAAATAGTTAGGAGCCTTGTTACAAAAAAAAGAAAAAAGAAAAAAAAATGATATAAAAAAATGATATCTTTCCTTTTTTTTTTAATTATATATGTATTATTTAAAAGGCTAATTCTTTGAGCCCAACCAATTCAATTACCTGTCGAATCTGGACAGGACGGCCTTTCAGCAGCCACATCCAATGAGGGAACATGCGGGAGCTGTACCCACCAGCAGGTGCGATACCTCCTAGCAGCAGGTAGGTGATACCACCCAGGGGTCAGCCAGTAGCATCAGGACCGAGCTTCGTCGATGGGCCAGTCACTCTGCCTCCCCTCCTGCCCCCTCCCCCTATGAACATCAGCATTCTCTGCTCAATGCCAGCATCAGGACCGAGCTTTGTCGATGGCCAGTCACTGTGCCTCTCCTCCTGCCCCCTCCCCCTATGAGCATCAGCAGTCTCTGCTCAATGCCACTCAGGGGCACCAACGGCATATCTCTAGGTGACGAGCACCAAGCTTGCCCAGGAAGGTCGGTACATGAGGCCAATGGGGATTGAACCCAAGACCTCCTGAATGCCACTTGTACGCCAACCCACGGAGCTAGGCCGCTGGATTGTTTTTCCGTTTTCATGTGGGCGGATGGATATTTAACTGATCAGAACAGATATTACACTCGGAGGGAACTCTCGCCTGACAATCATGGAACTTTTTTTGTTTTTTTGCGGCGACGGTCTTTGTTTTGTCTTTTTTTGGCATCAAAATTCAAATTTCCTAATTTCAAGGGCGATGGCCTTTGGATATTGTCTTTGAACTGATCAGCCCCAGTTAAATTTAGGTCTGTATTCTTTTTCTTTTCTTTTCCCTTTTTTTTTTTTTTTGAGGTCTGTATTTCAACAAGGACGAAGTCCCACTTACGGCGTGTAGTTTAGGTAGGTCAACGGTGTGACACATAATAGTCCATTAATAGTCAATTAGTAGTTCATTAATAGTCCATTAAAATATTGCCGAAAATCATTTTGTTGAATTCTTTTTTGATAGCAAAAACAAGAAACTCGTCTGAGAGGGCACCTCTGGGATTGCTGACCTTTCCGCAGTCGCGTAGCCAATGGGTGGAGCAACGCGATTGAAGTCCTTTGATTTCATACATGCGAATGCAGCAACATGATTGCTGAGTACACAGTGCTCTTGAAAGCACAGATGTCCTTCACGAGTACCTCATGCACCTGGATGTGTTGTTGGAGAAGGGGAGCCTAAAAGAATATCCCCACACGTTATGGGAGGGATCATCCCACGATCTTGCAAGATGGAAATAGCGGGCACCAGTGTGTCAGGAAATAATTAGGGAGAGGCACGCTCACCGTAAAAATGATGAATTTTGCATGGATACGTGAGAGAAGTTGGCCATCTAATATGTGTTGAGCTAGCTGACTACCTCTCTGATAGTCAGTGAGCTCAACGTCGATGTCAGGCACGCTTGAAACATTCTTTTTTACGAGTTTTAACTTGGCCTAAACAGCCCCCACAAATTTTCCACCTGTGACAATCTATCAGCCACACGATGTCCACAGGCCGAATAGATCGCCGAGGTCACTCTATGTCGCAGAGGGTTGAAATATCAGCGCGCACTCTATGTCACAAAGGGTTGAAATATTAACACGGACCTAGCTCAACGCGCAAGTGGGACTTGGCCCCAGGTTGTTGGTTTACCAACTGAGCTAGGCCTGTAGGTACAATTGTAGGACTCGAAACAGGCCTGGGGCTAAGTCCCATTTACCCGAATTCTCAATTTCTAAGTGGGATGTAGCTTGCATCTGGACGGT